CCCGAAAGAGTTCTGTGTCAACGAATAAAGGTGGTCGTACCAAACATTTGCCTTCAAACTCATTATAATTGAACTATTTGCTCTATAATGTGTTTCCAATGAACAACTACAAATATTTTGTTATTTTCCTAGCAAAAACGAAATTAATAAGTGGTGAGTCTTTGTTCAATACAGGCCACAAAGGTCACTCATCACTAAATAACTTCACTTTGATGTGTTCAAATCTTGAGATGTCTGACTTTAAGATGACTCCGTCCACCCTTGCATAACTGAGGAAAATGAAGTTACTGTTATTGTGCCCACAGTATTAAATATTCTATTCAATTATGTAAAAGAATGAAACAGCTTTCCAGAATCAGTGTTCCTGGCATTTTTCCCTATTAAAAACTAGATTCAATAGAGTCAGTTAGATGGAATGCTATTGGTTGTTGCATAACAGGGTTTTTTTTTTTACTCAGCAGCACACACAAAAATGTATTACAGAAAGCAGCGTATGAAATTTAATATAAAGTTGGATCCATAGATTTCTGGGGCAATGACATTTCTTTTGTAAGTGTGCAAAAGGAAAGGAACTTCATCCAAGTATTGAAAACAGTCCTCATAAGTAAACTTGTCTTAGTTTGTCCTTTTATGTTTTCCTAGTAAATGCAGCACTTTTGTTAAACCCCTTCATTTAAAGCTGAAAGTCTGCACTTCAATTACATCTTGATTGTTTGATTCAGAATCCACTGTGGAGGTGTACAAAAGCAAAATTACAAAAATTGTTTCATTGTCCAGATACTTTCTTCCCTAACTTTAAAAGCTGCAATTGTGGGTATTTTTTCTTTTTGGTTACAAATTACCCTCTACACTTTATGTTCAAAGAAAAGTTTCATTTTCTTATAAAGGACGTGCTGTAAACTTTGGATGAGAAGACGTTGTTCTGACTGAATTCAGTGTCGTCTGATACCGAAGCACGCATTTCATTTGTCCAAAAGGTAGCCGGAGATATGAGAGGATTTATTTGTTCTGTATTCTCACACACACAGGGTGGCGCAGGTTGGCAGGCATGTGTTTGGCCTGTGGATAATGGGATGTATCTGGAATTCACTTCTTTCGCTGGAACATTCTCAGTAAATCCCTTCTGACCAGCCGAGACTCAACGAGAA